ATTTAATTAAATTATTTTTGGAATATTTGTGAAGTTGTATTGTGATTAATTGGATTTAATTATTTTATTAAGTGGAGAAATAATATTAGAAATATAATATTATTTGATATGGGCTTGTTTTAAAGGAATAGAAGTAGTAATAAGAGGGTGTATTAGTTTAAGCCCAATAAGGAATAAAGAATAATAGGTTGTTTTATTATTGTTAGAAAGAATAGACAAGAGGAGGCAGTAGAAGAATAAGGATTGAGAAGAAGAACGTGAAGCTGCTGGAAAAAGAGGAAAAACGGCAGAACGAGGTTTCAATCGAAAGATTATAGAGCGACCTTCAATCCAAGGTAAGGGTGGGGTTCTGACTCTATAATTGGGTTCATGATGATTTGTATGTGGGGTTAGAGGTTATTGTTGTCTTGTTCATGAATTGAACATATATGATGTTGTATGATGAAAAATTGATGAATTATAGATGAATAATGATGTCCTGATGTTGTTTAATCGATGTAGAATTATAGGATAATTGTAAGTGATGATTATCTATGATTAGATTAAGTTTTTAGGGCTTAAAGTATGGAACCCGTAGTGAAAACGTAGAGAAAATCGCAGAATTTATGTAGGATGGAGCAGTATGCGTCGACCTCAAACATGATGTGTCGATACATGAAGGTATAGAGACTCAGGATGAGTCGACATGATGGGGTTTTGCGTCGATACATGAGTGCTTTTAGACTCAGGATGAGTCGATCCATAAGAGCATGTGTCGATACATGATGCGTGTTAGACTAAGGATGAGTCGATCCAAGAGAGGATGCATCGACTCATGTTACGCGTTTAGTGCAGTACGCGTCGATCCAAGACATTTTGCGTCGATCCATATTGTCTGATTTTTGGCAAATTCAGTTTGAAAATGCTGTAACTTGAGTAATAGGATGCTGTTTGAGATGTCGTTCGAAGCGTTGAATAGCTAACGCGATGAGCTTTAATTCTTGAGGATTAAATGAAGAGTAGGAAGGATAACCCTAGTAATCCCAATTAGGACTAGAGTTAATTCCCGCGTTAATCGTTATGTTGGTTTCGTGCAGAATGATGAGGATGAAATGTTTATAGGTTGTTGTTTGATTTGTAACAGTAGGAGTAATGACAGTAATGATATAAGATTACAGAATAGCAGTAAGAGTTAATGTAGTATTAATGTACCGCTGAGTTGTTGATGAGATGTTATTAATGAAGTTGTGTTTGATAATTTATGATGAACAAATGATGTTTGATGAAATAAATGATGTTTGATGAATAAATGACGTTTGATGTATTATTATGATGATATGAGATGTTGATGAAGAGATGTTGAGATGCTTTTGAGATGTTGTCAATGAAGGTGTTGTTATTACATTCATGACTGTGTCGTATACATTGCATTTAAGATGGAGCTTATGCTCGTTGAGATGGCATGTATTGTCGAATATTGAGATGAAGGCTTATGCCTTGTTGATGCCTCTATTAATTAGCAAATTTTTGAGATGGGAGTTCTGCTCCAATGGTACCACATGCATTTGCATAGTATTGAGTCGCATCATATGATTGCATAAAGAAGTGTGCATTGCTGTTGTGAATGTGTATTATTGTTGCGATTATTGTTGATTATGGGATGAGAAGTGGTGATGTTATGTGATCTAATTTAATATATTAATTATCATGCGCTTTATTATATTGTTAGATATCTCACCCCTTCTGTTTGAATGTTGCCCTTATGTTGGTAACATCCAGGTAATCGAGAGTGAAGGTTGTGTACCTTAAGTATTTCGAGTTGGTGTCATTGCTCTGATATGTAACACTCGGGGGGATGAACGCTTGTTGTTTTTAATTGTTGATTATTCAGTTGTTGAACTTTAAGTTGACTACTATTAAATTTGTTGTTTCGAAGTTGCTGTATTGATGATAAAGATGTTATTAAGAATTCCGCTGTGTAGATGTTGAATTATTTAATTAAAGATTTTATGATGATGGTTCATCCGATGTTTTAAAAGTGTTATGTATCCATGACGAATGCAATGAATTTTGATAGAAGAATTTGTGGCATCCCGATTCATTTGCATGAATGATTTTTATAACTCTGATTTATTTATATAATTCGCCGGGGTAGAATTGGGGTGTTACAATAACACGGTGGGAGAACTGACTTGGTTTGCATTTTATCACAAATGTTGCGGATAGCAAGAGTCGCCATCGAATTTTCTTTTACCCAATGAAGGAAAAGTTGAAAAGAACAGGAAAGACCTTCGAGAATTTTTGAGTTCGGGGGGTAGGTTATGAAAAGGGAAGATGTTATCACCCTTTCCATTCGTAGTTATCTAGGGGCTCTTAATCGCTTAGCTCACTTTATTTGAAAATACTTTGTGTGTTTGAAAATATTTTGAAAAATGCCTAAGTGCATCAATTTTGTAATGATTCTCGTATCAGTTGAGAATGCGTACAAAATGTTTGTTTTTGAAAATATTTCAAAGAAACGTGTGATTGTGGAAAAGATATTTGTTTTGAAATTTTGTTATGAGCAAGCGACTACGAGCTATCTACCTACTCAAAGATCTTTCGTGTTATTTTCCTCCTTTCCTTTAGATAGTGATATCCTACCATTAGTTAGTAGGAAGCCCCATCATTGGGTGTTTGAGGGACAGGCGTGGGTCATTGTAAAATCATAAAGGCAACTTGTAGGGGCTCTTTAGCAGTTTTATCATAAGGGACTAAGATCGTTTACCGAGGTAGCATCGAAGGGTCATCGAGGGACTATGATCTTTTTAACTTGAGGGTCTTTGCTAAAGCGTCCCCACGTTCGAGGGGCATGACTATTTTTCGAAGGCAACAAGTGGAGTCATCCGAGAGGTGCATGTGTGAATAGTGTTTCAGTTTTCAGTTAATTTGTCTTGAGATTAAGTTTTCTAGCCTTTGCTTTTATATATTTCCATACAAGCCTAATTACTATATAGTAATAAGTAAAAGCAGTAAAAACTGAAAAGAAAGATGATACACTATTATAATGCTTCGGGGAAAGGGGGTACAAAACCATAAAATTGGGGGGAAATAGGAAGCAAAATAAAGCCTAGTTAAACTATTACATTCTTTAGCAATTACATAATAGGAAAAATTAAATGTGAAAAATAATAAAGCGTACGAAGATTATAATTTAAGAGGAAATTGTTTGACGAAAAAGACTTGATGATCAGCCTAACAATTAATTGATCTTAATTGAGAAAAGGAAATTGATTAAAACCTAAAATAAAAATCTAAGTTATATTTAATTTAAAAAAAGTTTAATAATAAAACCCTAAAGAAACTAAGATAATTAAATCAATTAATCTAATTAAAAAAAGGTTAAATTAAATTTTAAAAAAAAGTTAAGTTAACTTGATTCTAATTAATTTTAAAAAAAAGGTTAAATTGATTTGATTTTAGTTAGTTAGAGAAAAAAAAGTTAATTATGTTTAAAAAAAGAAGTAATGGGCATGCAAGAAGTAGATCGGGGGGTGCTGAAAGAAATTCATCATGCCCATCAACATAAATCCAATATGCGTAAGATCCGGTGTGGCTGGTCAACGAGAGTGCACCATGGGCCTGGAGATATGAAGCACCAGATCTGAGATTGTGAAGATCCAATGGTGATAAGGTGAGAGCGCAGGGTGAGCATGCTGGGATGACTGGCATTGAATCTGTAAACAAGAAAAAATATTTGAAAAAGATCAAAATACCAGGGGCGGATCGAACTTGTGACCTGGTATACTAACGCCTTAATAATGCTCGCTTCTACCGCTGGGGCGGCTTTACATCCGTTAACATAATTGAAATAATAAACACATATTGTACAAACGAATATAATGACCAGAGAAGCGCCGGAACCCTAGCCCCGGTCGTCTTCGTCGGCGACCTGCATGATCCAAAACCTGCAAAATCAGAGAGTTAGTATCCAAAACACCCTAGCCCCCCTAATTCGACCCTCCTGAATTCAAATATGGGCTTAGTTTTGGCTATAAGTCCTTGTATCATGTGTTTCGAATCAAGTAAAACTGATCGGAGTAAATATGGTATCTCATGGTTCTGACTGATGGGATCATGATAATGATCCAGACCTGTTCAAATGTGACTCAAAAACCTGTTAGTAGCATTAGTGCATGCTAAAACATAATAAAAACAAGAATTTAAAAATCATGAAATAATGAAAAACACAATGGTGCATGTATGCTGATTCAGGTCCTTTGGATCATGGTAACTGATCTAAACCTACCCTTCAGTATTCCTGGAAGCGAATGGAATGGAGATTTCGCAGTGAGGAGGCTTGTAACGAGAGTTTTGAAGCTCAAGAGTTATTGAATTTTTTTGGATGTTTTTGATAATTTTAGAGGCAAGGATCTGTGTCCTCTTGCATTTGATCTTGTATGTATATATATGTCATGAGATTAGGTCAACAAAAGTAGTATAAAGTCCAAAGGATCAATGTTTTGATTTGCTTCTAAAACAATTTGAAATATTTTCAAATTTGTGAAGATGTCCTTCTTAATATATCATCACACGATTTTGTAAAGTTGTCATGAGTTGTCTTGGGCCTCCAACTGATCCAAACTATCTATGCGCCTTAATCTAATTGTCTTGTATTTTATTTAATTTATTTTGTATTTAATTGAATAAAAACAAAATAAATATAAATAAAAATTAAGGTAAGGCAGGCATGAGTTTAGGAGTCTTCTATAAAGTCATGGACATATTTGAAACCTAAAAAGTTAAGCCCACTAGTTCAAAATTTTAAGTTTGCTCACTTTGCATTTCATGCATTTTACCAAAATTTACCAACTTGTAATGGTCATAACTCTCTCAAATTTTATCTTTTGAAGGTGATCTTTGACTTTTTGGAAATATCAAGATGTCCTCTACAATTTCTATTTTTATCATTTTTTCATTTGGAGACTTTATCTTGATGTAAGTTGCCTTGACAAAAAGTGTTGTCTTTGTTAACTTTTGAAATGACCTGTAATGTATTGACTCATATCTCTCAAATGAAGCATTTTTTGGACTTGATCATAGAGATACAAAGTTGTAGAGAGTTGAATTTCCTTCAAAATTAGATTTGGTTGGGGAAAATTTGATGAAACATGTGAAAGTTAGGCCTGGTCAAAGTTCAGTTGACTTCTCCTAAGGAAACCCTAATTTGGCAACTTTGGTCTTTTGATGATTTGAGGGCTTCTCTTGAGGAATCATGATTAACTCTTGATCAAATGATGAATATTACTTCAAAATGTTCATGTTGACCAAAAATCTTGAAGCTTGATTGTATGTTGACCACAATTGACTTTTTATCTAATATAGTTGATTTTCAATCATCCGAGTTATTGGCTGAGCAAACTTGTGATGCAAGACTTGAAACTTGACATGAGCATTGTTTAAGACCTATGAAGAACCATAGAAACCACTTCAGACCTTTGAAACCCAAACTTCCTTGAAAAACACAAAACCCTAGTTGTTGACCATTGCTTAGAAGGAGAATTTGTCTGATCAATTCTTGAGCCACCTTGAGCAGGTGAGGACCTCATGAGAATGTCTTGAAAAAAAATGAAAGAGCAAAATTTGGGGTACAACAATAATACTTTTTAAGACCATGAAACTAATTCCACTTATTTTTTTCTATAGAATTTAAAGGAAGACTTTGCTGCCCTTTTAAAGGGTTATAATTACGAAATCCTTATTTTGTATTGTGATAACGGAAAAAAATGATACTTATTTTGTTGAACATTGATAATCCATACCACACTAAGTTAGGTTACAAGTGGGGTGAATTTTGTGAATCCAATATATTCAAAACTGAAGACACTATTCGATTTAGATTTGATATAAAATCTCCAAACAACAAATGTCATGTATATAAACTCCATTAATTATATTTTATTGATGTATTATTGTTTCTTTTAATGATCTTTGTAACTGTTATCTAATCTAATTTGAGTTGTTAAATATTGTCTTTGCATTTTTAACACTATTCTTCCTTACATATGCTTTAAATTGTATTTTGTTCTTTTTATTTTAATTATTTGTGATTAACCGGTCATAATTAAACATACCACATCAATACTCGTAAGAACGCACAATTATCCCATTAGTAAGTAATTATCATAAATACAATATACTTTACAATAAATTAAGAATAATTACACAATAAATTAGAAGAAAAATGAAAAATATTTTTTAAAAAAAGTGAAGGAAAACCCGACCCGAATCTTAAAACCCATTAAATACCGGGGTACCCAAAGTGAGATCCATTAGTAGCTTCTGAAATAAAATCGTTACTCTCGTTTCGTCTCTCTTCTAGTCACACCACTTTCAACATTCTTGATTTCACCATCTTGTAAGTTTCAGCATTCCATTTCTTGTTTTCTTTCTATCTTTTTCAAAAAAATTGCGCCATTTTCACCTGTCTAAACCGAAACTTGATTAACTGTTTACGTTTCAAATGCGTGTACCAGATGTTTGTTAAAATGCCTGAACGAAAATATCTATATTTCTGAGCTTTTATCATGTGAAAACTTCATTTGTTGTTTCTTTGATTCAAGTTCTTGAATCTTGAGTGATGTTATGCTGCATGATCTATTCTATGCAGTTAAGATTGATAGCTTGTATATGTGTTAATCATTTGGAGAAAAATACTGAAAGTGAAAAAAAGCGTGTTTTTGTGTCCATGTGAGATTCAGACATGGCACCACATTTGTGATAGCTTGTATATGTGTACATTTAATTTATTCATTTTAAAAAAAAATTATTAACGGTGTCGCCATGTCGGTGCCAGTGTCATTTGCAGGGTGTGTGTTTTATAGTTCAGTTTAATATATAAATGATATGTTGTTTTTCTTCCTGCATCAGGGCATGGATGGGTTCCTGATATAATGTGAACCCTGTTTTCCACTTTTCCTTTAATGAATGATAACAGTAAATTAATTCACAGGTTTAGATTTGGAAAGCATCATGCTTTGCATTGTGATTTATTTTATTTTATTGAAGTTTATTTCTTTATATAGGGATTCAATGGCTACAGTGAGAAGTCTGAAAATTAAGACGAGTACATGCAAACGACTTGTGAAGGAGCTAGATTCTTATGAAAAGGAAGTTCTTAGAGAATCTGCCAAAACAGCTGATATGAAGGACAAAGGAGCTGACCCTTATGATATCAAACAACAGGCAAGTCAAAATATTGTGCTCACTTGATGCATAGATTTAAGTTCTTTGTCTGTTTAGAATGGATTACTGTCTGTTTTAAATAAACTTTTAATTTTTGGTAAAAAATGAATGGTATTTTTCTCCTTAAAGTTTGTCCAATACCAATTTGCTCAGAAGCGTGCTTCATAATTTTAGTTAGACGTGTCGTGCCGTGCCATTCCATTGCATTTTATTTTATGTTTGGGGTGTTTGGCCGCTATCTTTCATTTCCTGTCCCCTCTATAACATATTTATATACTGTGTTGACTTCTATTGGACAGGAAAATGTGCTGGCTGAGTCTAGGATGATGGTTCCTGACTCTCGGAAGCGTCTGGAGGCTGCTTTGGAAGAGTTGAAAGGAACACTGGTACATGTATTTCTTGTTTATGTGATTATTGTATATCTTAGTTTTCTGCTATTTTGTCTTGTCATGGAACCACATTGTCATGTTCAGCATTTGATGCTCTGGCTTTAATCAAATCATACCTATTGCTATATATCCCTTATTAATTATTCATACTTCTTAAATTGTGGGATTTTAGGTAAAAGATGAGAGAACTATTATTGATAATAGCTTAAATGCAAAACAATAGATAAAAATCCCTATTTATAGGATACATAGAATCAATACTAAATCAAGAATAAATCATGATATTAAAAACTAATATAAAATATGATATTAAGAGGTATTCTAAGACACTCTAAGTTAATATAAAGATATTATAAGATATCTTATAAGATTCTAACACGTTGATCTCGAACCTGTTGCTTGGGACAAAGTTAGTTTTTCAGTATTTCTGTTCTAGGACAAAGTGTTTGCCTTCCCTCAATCGATGCTACATTTTCTGAATTTGATTTATGCAACTTTCTATATTCCACTTTGTGGCATTTTGAGAGTCTAATAGAAAGTTGTATTGCTGATTGAAAACAAACTATTACAGTGGGGAAGCCAACCTGTAAAACTTAGAGCAAAACCTCTAAGAGAAACCATTTCCATGCCCAATATCAAACAGACTACTAATTTCTTACCCTTCCCTCCTCCTCCCACTACATATGTCGTATGGCCTAATAAACTTGCCAACTAATTGTGTCCCCTAAGCATTTCTTTTTCCGTAACCATATAATCCAAATCCCGTGCTTCCAATGATATGAGCCGATTAGCTTATTTGCCCATGTCCCAAGCTCTATCACATGTGATGTGACATTGCTTTGGCTCGAGACTTAGATTTGAATGTAGGAATACATCTCCAACTATTCAGACAATTGCCAGGAAATGAAACTTCTGGCACTCAACCACACTCCAAGTAGAACAACTCAAAGACTGCTTTAATTCCTTCAGCTCTTTACGGGTTGTCTATCCGCCCCCTCCGATTACTGTATTTGCCAATGCAGAATAGAAGCTTGATTACTGATAGTCTTACCGAATTAAAAGATAACCATAGTAATCACAACTTCTCGGACTGCCATCAATGTTCCTTTCAGCCACACTATTCATGTTACTCTCTCACCTAACCCCCGATAACACTGTTTGGCCTAACTAGAAATGGTTATTGTTTTGTAGCATGTTAAACTTTTTGTAGTATTTAGTGTAATTATGTTTTGCGGCATTTTGTTTTCATGTTTATGAACCAATTCTTGCATGTGTGATGCAGCGTCTTAAACTAACCAATTATTTTCAGTATGAAAAAAAAGCTCTGCCTTTCATTCCTAGTGCTTATTGTCTAATTTTTGTGTGAAAACTAAACTATTTTCAGCATGCAAAAAAGAAGCTTTGCCTTTCAATCCAATTTTCATGTGAGTATTTTTTTGTCTGCATTCAGGCTGCGTTGTTGGAGGTAACAGATGAAAAGGAAGGCACTGAAATTGATGATGCTCTAAACACCATTGTGGAAGTTGAACAGGTATTAGAAACTTAGCAGAACAGTTTCACTAATCACTAATGTCTTGGGTTGTCTTGGGTTGAGAATATTGTGCAATGTATTATACGGTTTTCCCTTGATATTCAAAAACCGATCCATTCGGAAAAAGGTTCTAAGGTTTGTGACATTTAACCTTACATAGTCAATGTTTTCGTGGAATCTGGAAATGAAAAAACTTATAACATCGTAACTTTGAAAGTTATCAGGCTTATCGGTATCCATCAAGCCATCAACCATTCCACTTGGAAAAAAGAAAGTTTTGAAAAGCTAAATTTAATAATAAATGTATAAAAAGAAACTAATTATGTATTTTTTATCTATCTCAGTTGCTCGTAATCGTTGATTAAGTCCTCGATTAATCGGTAGTCAATATCAACATGTTACACTAATAAGAAGAATGTGGTAATACTAATACTGGGATGTTGTAGAATGACAATTTTTTTTTTCATCCAGAAACTAAGGTGTTAGCGGTACGGTTTGAATAGTTTTAAACTAAAAAATCACTCGAGCTACAAGAGGAAAAATGTGTGGTTCGATTTGATTTAATTGGCTTTTAAAAATAAAACTCAACTAAACCAAATCAAACTAATACGGTTTGAATTGGTTCGTTTGGTTTGATTTTTTACAAAAAGAATTATTAGTCATACATACACATATAAAAAAGTATATATAATTGTGTCTAATCGTTCATACATTACCATAAACAAATTTATAATTGTCAGAATAAATTATTATAAATATATAAAATTGGATATTATTTTATCTAAATCTAAATAATGATATACATAAGATTGCATTTTTGAATAAATATTATACGAAAAATATGATAAAATATATTTTGTGAAATAATATTTATAAATGAATAATATTTTATTTTTTATGATTTATAAATTAAAATAAATATCATAAAAAAAATGATAAAATATACATATAATACATGTTGATTTCTCAAAAGAATTAAAGAAATATATATTGGTTAGTAAGATTCAATAATATAATTTGGTTTGGTTTGGTTTGGTTCAATTTGCAAAATGCAAATCACAAATCGAGTCGTACGGTTACGTTAAAAAATGACACAAACACATCCGAATCAAATATAATTTTTTGTGATTTCAATTTGATTTAGTTCAATTTTACGATTTTCTATTGAGCAAATTTAGTTTTAAACAACCCCCCTACTAAAAACATATTATCTCCTTCCAAAATGTTTAAGCTTTAGTACAAATAGTTGGAAAATGTTTTAAAAAAAAGGGGGGAAAATTCCTATTTAAATACAATAGAAAAAGCCATGAAAATGTCTTTAGATGGTGAATGAACTAGAAGAATAAAAAAGAAAAAGGGAGATAATAAAACTTATTTGACTAGTAGGTTTTTCTCACTAACTTTGCATACATACATCTTAAAATATGGCAAATCAATAGTCACTCGTTACTATTAATCATAATTAAAAATAATAATTTATAGTGTTTATTTTGACTTTTTAACAATAAAAGTTGTTTTTATCTTCTATTATTTTCTTAAAAACTATTCTCCTGGAAACTTATTCATATGAATTTATCTGTGGGTTGGATCAAGAGCGTAATAAAAAGTTGGGGATTTATTTATCCATTCTTATGTCTTAGAAGTTTTTGGCGAAATTTTCATTATACTACTTGAATTCGAATATATATATTCGAACTCACCACATTACATAATCAACTTTTTTTTTATATATCAGAGACTTTTCAAATATGCATATCTGAATTAATCCCAAAATTTAATTACAGACGTGTTCGGATATGCATATCCGAATCGTTTTTAATATATACCAATTTTTAAAACAGAAACATAATCTATTCCAACTCTCTAAATTCTCACTCTCTATTCCAACCTAACTCTCTCATTTAAAATTTTGAGCAAAACTCTATTCCAACTCTCTAAATTTCCACACTCTATTCCAACTCAACTCTCATTTGAAAATTTGAGCAAAAGTTTCGATTCATTTGAAGAACAAAACACATTTTCAAGAAGCAAAACATCTTCTCAACCCATTTCAACAACACTTTAAAGCTCCAAATTTGGATAAGTTTCTCCGAATCTATTGTTCTATTTTGCATGTCAGTAGGTTGAAGTATAACTTGCAAAATGTGGTTGTTTGGGTGTGAAAGTGAAGTTTTTAGGTGATTTAGGGCAAGAAATCTCAACTGCCTAAAAATGGCAGTCGCAAGTGTTTTCGAATGTGCATATCCGAAATCTCCTCTGAGTGGTTTCATATATGCACATCCGAAATTATGCTTGGGTTGTTTTTTTTATACATTTTCTTCAAACTTGTTCCTTGGGTAATTGTTATTTTTCAAGGAAAATGGCTAAAAACGAAAACGCTAGATTGAGACTTGGTAGACCAAGTTAGATTGCCTCCGCTCGGCGTGAGAGAGCTGAGAAGGCGCCTAAGAATCAAGGACAGGGTCGCGTACCGCGAGAGGAAGTGGCGAGAGGATCCACTTCGGCTCCGAGGAGTCGCTTGTCTCATGCGTCTTCATCTCGAGATAATGAGCAGGTATCCGGGGAGGTTGATGTTCGGGCATGGTAGCCCGAGGAGGTTGATACACCGGATGAACATCTACGTGCAGCAATAGGCAGGAGGCTTTGGACTTAGGAATCATTGAGAGAGGCGGTCCTGAGGCGATGACCATCATAGAAAGGATGGTTAGGGAGGCATCTCTTGCAGCGGGTTACAGAAGGCAGAGGAGGGGTTGTAGGGTTAGGATTAGGCATACACAGTAGACTATGTATTTAATTTATTTACTGATGTATTTGATTTATATTATGTACTTTCTAAACAATTTATGTACTAATTTCCGGTATTTATGAACAATTTATATTTGTATATGTTAGAATTATTATGATTGTAGATATTCTAGAGTGATTGATAGTATTCCTAGACTAAACAACTTCCTAGATTAGTGCTTATTCATTAACTAGGTTAGTGCTTATCTCTTAAACTTCAATGTATTTATTGTAACACTAGTATAAATACAAGTAGTGTGATCTATCTTAAGACACAAAATTTACAAAATTCTATATGGTATCTCAACTGACGTTAGCTTCCTCGAGACTCGTCCATTATTCCTTTCTACACTTGAAGAGTCCAATAGTTATGGTAAGTCACAATCCTTCTCTCCAGAGGTATCAACTTTCCCTATTGCACCGACACCTGTCTTTATCTCCACACCCATCTCTATACCCACACCCGTTATTCGGACCTATCAACGGAGGCTACGTCCACCACCCGTTCCTCAATACTCTTGCACTACTTTGATAAATTCTCAGCCTTCGCATCCTACACAAGAACTACCCATTTCTCTACGTAAAGGTAACATATCATCTCGAAATCCTAGTCCTATTTATGCTTGTCATTTGGATTATCATCGATTATCTACACCCTATTATGCTTTTGTGGTTTCCTTGGATTCTATGTCTATTCCTAAAACTACAGGTGAAGTTATGTCTCACCCTGGACGACGACAGGCAATGATCGATGAGATGTCTGCTTTACACTCCAATGATACTTGGGATTTGGTTGCCCTACCTGATGGAAAAACTATAGTGTCGATGGGTCTATACAGTTAAAATTGAGTTTGATGGAAATATTGATCGTCTAAAAGCTCGCCAAGATCACATATGTCCATTTTTTTCTTTCCTTAGCTGTTATTCATCAATGGACACTCCATCAACTAGACATCAAAAATGCCTTTCTTAATGGTGAATTACATGAGGAGGTGTACATGTCTCAACGACCAGAATGTTAGTGGTGCTTCTCACCTCGTCTGTCGACTTCGTCGATCTCTTTATGGCTTGAAACAATCTCCCCGTGCTTAGTTTGACAGGTTTAGCACTGTGCTTCTAGAGTATGGCATGAGTAGATGTGAAGTTGATTACTCTATATTCTCTTTGCATTCTTCCCCAACCACTTGTCTATCTGTTGGTCTATGTCGATGACATCATCATCACTAGTAATGATAAGGATGACATTCAATGGTTAAAATAACATTTGTCTTTACACTTCCAAACTAAATATTTGGGACCACTAAAATAATTTTTGTGGATTGAAGTTGCTCAATCCAAGAGTGGTGTGGCTATTACACAAAACAAATATGCTCTTGATATACTTAAGGAATTTGACTTGCTTAATTGTCGACCTAGTGACACTCATATGGATCCTAACGTGAAGCTACTGCCAAGTCAGGGGGAGCCATTGAAAGATCCTGGTAGATATCGATGTCTAGTTAGCAAACTTAATTACCTCACAGTAACCAGACCAGGCATTACTTTTGTTGTTAGTGTGGTTAGCCAATTTCTAAATACTCCACGTGATGACCATTAAAATGTTGTGATTTCCATTCTTGAGTATATAAAGAGTGCGCCGGGTAAAAAATTACTTTAAAAAAACAAGGGTAACACTCAATTTATGGTGTTGTACCCCAAAATTTTTCCTCCCATTCTATTCAAGATATCTCCTCATGCTCCTAGGGTTTTCAATTCCTCAAAGCTACTCAATATTTGATCAGACAAATTCTCTTCCTAAGCAGTTGCCCTACAACTAGTGTTTCACTTTTCTCAAAGAAATTTGAGCTTATAATACCTCAAGTGGATTTCAGGGTTCCTCATATGTCTCAAGAAATGTTCATGCCAAATTTCAAGCCTTGCATCACATGTTTACTTAGTAAATTGCTCAGATGACTAAAAATCAACTATATTGGATAAAAGTCAACTTTGGTCAACATACAGTCAAACTTCAAGATTTTTGGTCAACATCAATATTTTAAATTTATATTTATCATTTGATCAAGGGTTGCTCATGATTCATCAAGAAAACTCAAGATCCATCAAAAGTCAAAAGTTACTAAATTAGGGTTTTCTTAAGGATAAGTCAATTGAACGTTTAACCAAGCACAACTTTCACATGCTTCATCAGTTTTTTCTCAACCAAAGCTCACTTTCAAGGAAATTCCATTCTA